GGAAGGGAGTGTCTTCTGCCCCGCCCCCTCACTGCTGTGCACGTTCTCACAGGTGGGAATCCAGGTTTCACAGGGCAGAACCAGGCCCCCACACGGCCCACGGCTCCAGAGGTGCTGTGCCCTGCTCAGAGGCCCCTGAAAAGAGGCAAGACTAGATTTTTGCCTAGAGTATATGATGGTATTGGTGACAGGGTCTCTTCTGAAGACTTTTCTCTTTGTTGGGCACTACTTGATTAGGCACTTATAGCCATTGTGGGGTGCAGTGTGACCACACCACAATGTGACCCCATGAAGCAAGTACTGGTACTGTCCTCAGGAAAACCAGAGCAGGTTGGCGGTCAGGATGCAGCATCCAGCTGGCAGAACTGAGGGACGACTCCAAGTCCTGACCTCCTCACCACACCCTCCTCTTCTCCACAGTCCTGCACTCACAGCTCTACGTGGGCTCTGTCCCACACTGAGTCCCTGGAGCCAGCCCATGCACAGGCACCTGATCTGACTAACTGAGCCAGCCCCTCGTCTCTGCCAACCTCCCTCTGCTAACCTCCAAGCTGTTCTGACCATCTTCCTTTTAAGACAAAATCTAAACCGACATGCCTAAAAATACCTGTCACCTCTTTTATTATGTTAACAATGTGTGTGTATGTGCATGCACACATATATGTGTGTATGCATATCTGCGCATAGACACACACACACACACACACACACACACACACACACACACACACACACACACACACACACACACCTTGAGTGTTGAGGTCAGTAGATCACTTCCAGGAGTTGGTTTTCTCTTTCCACAATGTGAGACTTAGGGACTGAACTCAAGAATCATCTCACCAGCCCTGCTGTGACCTCTTTATTTGTGGTAAACAGCATCACTTTTCTGTCTCCCCAGGAGAATTAGAATTAGGTAGCAGACTTTCACTGGAAAGAACAAAGAAGTCCAGTGAGGCCTCAGGTTTATCTTCAAGATCTAGACATGAGGTTTAGATATAGAGGCCCTAAGGGGCTCAAGAGATTGGCTCAGTGGTTAAAACCACCAGCTCTCTCTCTTCTAGAGGACCCAACCAAGTTCAGGCCCCAGCACCCACACAGGGCAGCTCACAACTGCCTATAACTCTAGCTCCAGGGAATCGGATACCCTCTTCTGGCCTCTGCAGGTACCCGAATACACACACACACACACACACACACACCACACACCACACACACATACACACACACACACACACAGAGCGAGAGAGAACGAGAGAGAGAGAGAGAGCGAGAGAGAGAGAGAGAGAGAGAGAGAGAGAGAGAGAGAGAGAGAGATTTAAGTAGAAGATCAGAGTTACCTTAACAGGTCAGTGTAAGGACCCATCACTGTCTCAGCTCCAGTCTCTGTTGCAAGGTGGCCTTACTATTTCTAAGAAGAACCATAGGAAATTTCTTTCTCGGAGACAAACTTTCTCTGATTGGCACCAGGCTTCAGGAGTCTGAGAGGGGCACAAGCATCTCTCTTTAGAACATCTTTACTCCTGCCAGGATGGTAACAGCTCCCACATGGCCTATGCCTGGGAACTCGCGGTGTCATCAGGACTGGGAACCAGATCCTTCATTCTGAAGTTTATCATCATAGCCACAGAGTTCAAGCTGAGTCTAGGGTCCTGACAGGTCCGTCAGCAATGGGTACCATCTTCACAGTCCTTTGCTGGCGAGAAAGGGGAGGCTGGGGTAGGAGGGGCAAGAATACCTTCTAGTCTTTAACACACATCGTTAGCCCAGTCTGACCATCAGGGACTTAAAGCCCTATGCAGAACTCAGGCAGCTGCTGGACAGTGTGTATGGAGCAGGGAACAGTGAGGAGGAACACCAGCTATGAGGCCCTTTTCCCTTCCCGCCAGATCCAGGCCTAGTCAGTGGAATTAGAGCCAGGCCTCTCCTCAGACCCCAGGCAGCCCCAGCAAGCTGGGCTGACCAGCCTTTCCAACATAAACACCAAGAGGCCCAGGCTCCTGGGTAAGGACATTTTTCAGAGATGACATCAGCTCTTAAAGTGGTATGTCTCCTCCAACTGTCAGCTTAGAACACAGTGTGCCCAGAGTCCCCGTCAGCCTAGAATGCAGTGTACCTGGAGCCTACTGTCAGCCTAGAACACCGTGTGCATAGAGCCCACTGTCAGCCTAGAACACAGTGTGCGCAGAGTCCCCTGTCAGCCTAGACTAAGATGGGCACCCCTATCGGTCAGGTCAGTGCACTCTGGGTATGGGAGCCAGTCCTAGCGTCTACTCTGAGTAGCATTTGCCATCCATGGATATACCAGGGACCTTTGGAACTGGAAGGAGAGACTGACCCTTGACCCCAAGTTTTGCAATGGGAGCCTGAGGATTCAGCCTCAGCCCCCTACTGAGGGCTTAGACATCCACCTTGTCGTTGTCTCCCCACCCCTGAATGGCTCTGGACTCCAACCAGAGGGAGGGTCTAAGGGACTCTGGTGAGCAACGGTTTGGGTTGGAGGACTCTCAACTTTCTGTACCTCAACATAGGCTTTTAATGGGATAGCCTTTGAGGGGCCACCTAAAGGACGGGGGGGGGGGTCATGTCTAGGAGGTGTCCCTCTCAAATCTGAGCTGTTTCAATCCCACTGACTCAGGCACTAGGGTTAAATAAAGCAATCTGTGAAGGCTGGCACATCCACCCAGTGTTCCAGGTACTTGTCCTGGGACGGAATACCTGAGAAGAGCAATTTAGGAAGGAGCTTATTCTGGCTCACGGGTCCAGGCTACTGTCCACATGTAGGGGAGGGCAGGGCAGGAGGAGCAGGAAGTGGCTGGCCACACTGTGTTTGCAGACAGAAAGCTGAGAGAGGTGAACACTGGCACTCAGCCCACTTCTTATTCAGTCAAGACCTCAGCCCATGGGATGGTCATGTCCACATCAGGAGGGTCTTCTTTCTTTAATTAACCCTATCTGGATAACTCCTAACAGAGGAGTTATCTGGATAACTCCTAAAAGACATAGCTAGAGATTTGTCTCCACGCGGACTCTAAATCCCATCAAGTTGACAAGACTGACACGGAGTTAGTCATTCTATATATATATATAAATATTTATTATTTATATATAATATAAGAATTATATATATAAGAATATATATATATTTATTATGAATACAATATTCTGTCTGTGTGTATGCCTGCAGGCCAGAAGAGGGCACCAGTCCCCATTACAGATGGTTGTGAGCCACCATGTGGTTGCTGGGAATTGAACTCAGGACCTTTGGAAGAGCAGGCAATGCTCTTAACCTCTGAGCCATCTCTCCAGCCCCGGTGTTAGTCATTCTTAAGGCAACCGTAAAATTTAGTTTTGTCCCATACTACTGAGTGTTCACTGCACTGACTCTAGGGCTTCGGGGTGAAGGGGTAGGCATGCTTCTATATCCCAGGGGGTGGGGCTCTGACAGGAGGCAGGGACAAATTCACAGATGATATGGAATCGTGGGGCTGGAGGGCTGGGGCTAGGCAGGTCTAGGACTTCCCGAAGAAGGAGGTGATGGCCTAGTAGTTAGAAACAAACCCATCACAAAGGGTGAGGTCTGCAGGCTGAAGCAGTGCAGTGGAGGTAAGGAGGCTTTGGGCTGAGTGGACTGAGAGGGAAGGCTTTCTTTTTCCCCTTTGGTTTTTCAAGACAGGGTTTCTCTTCTGTAGCCCTGGAACTCACTCTGTAGACCAGGCTGGCCTCAAATTCATAGAGATCCACCTGCCTCTGCCTCCTGAGTATCGGGGTCAAGGATGTGTGCCACCACTGCTCAGCTGAGGGGAGCCTTTTTTGTTTGTTTGTTTTTCAAAACAAGGTTTCTCTGTAGCTTTGGCACCTGTCCTGGAACTAGCTCTTGTAGACCAGGCTGGCCTTGAACTCACAGAGATCCGCCTGCCTCTGCCTCCCAAGTGCTGGGATTAAAGGCGTGCACCACCACCACCCAGCCTGAGGGAAGCCTTTTTGATAGAGGCTGGGAACATTGCCTTGGGATGGAACCAGGTGGTAGAAGCCTCGACCCACATGTTTTCACGGGCATCATCGACAGCAGAAGGGGCAAACTGAGGAAAAGGAGGGGTCTGAAGAGAGGGGGCTTAGGTGAAACACTCAACATCACCTTCTTGAGAGATTTGCTGTGACAACAGGAAGGGTAAATTGAGACTCGATCAACCCAGCTAGTCCCAAGTCCACACCCCCACCTCAGGATCCCCAGGACTGTGCTCACTGTTGCCTGGGAGGCCTGAAAGGAGCTGGGAGAACTAGCTCACTTCCCACCTTGCAGCCTTTCTCCAGTAGGGAGCCAGCTGAATGCCCAGGGACCAGCACCCAGGCTGTTGCTGACTTAATCCCTTCTGGTCAGCTCAGCACTCTGGCCTATGTCCTTCCTGTGGGATTACTGAAACTCTTTGTTGGGATCAGGCCACAGACCACACCCCCCGACTAGATGCTTCTATGTCTGTGAGCTCTGCTCTGGGGGAAGTGCAGGCTCCAGGCGTCATTCAGAGGGAGCGATTTTGACAACAGTGGCCCTGGGGGTGTCAAGGGCGGAGGACCATCTTGGGTAAGATGGGGTCCCAGAGGGAAGAGGTCTTGTTGACAGCTAAGGACAGAGGTCCCTAGTTAAGGAGAGCACCCCATACAGGCTACCCAGGAGGGAGAGATGTAGGGGGGCTGAGGGAACTCTGAGTTGTTGAGCTCCCCCGGCAGACTGGAACTTTCTGAAGCAGAGGTGGGTTCTCCGTTAGATAAGAGCTACTTGAGATGTGTGGGCCCCAGTACTCCATCACACCATAATCAGGGCAGGGGCTGGTTTCAAGTTTGGCCCATTAAGCCAGCTTCTGCCCATTGTTCAACACAGGGTTCCCCACACTGTTGCTGTGTGCGCAGACAAATTGCTTTGTGGCCTGTTTTCCTCCCCTCCTGTCCTTTGTCCCTGAGCTCTGACAGGGGCTCTTAGGTATGGAAGAGGGTGGGGTGTCATGAAGCCAGAGTCGGGCATCATCCTTGGGTGGATCCTGCTGGTGGCCAGGGTAGGGGCTGCCAGGAGAGGATCCCCAGAAGAGGCATCCTTCTACTATGGAACCTTTCCACCTGGTATGTCCATTCCTCCACTACTCTGTCCTCAGACTGTCTGTCTGTCTATCTATCCATTTGTCGGTCTCTGTTGGCCTCCCTACCTTGGTTGACTTGCCAAGGAATTGGGTGCTCTGATCTGGTGGGATGGGAGACACCTTCACATAGATGCTGTAAAATAAAACACCCTGACAGGTAGGCATGTATGTGTGTGTATGTGTGTGTATGTGTGTGGGGGGGAGGGGGTTTCTCAGTCCATCAGTGTGTCTATGTGGTGTTGGAAATTTGAATCCAACTTACAGCTTTGTCCATGCTAGGCAAAAACTTTGGTACTGAGCTACATCCCTAACCCAGAGACTTTTAAAAAGTTACTAAATTCATAAGTTAAGTGTGCTTAGCTGGGAGTTGGCACATGCCTTTAGTTCCAGCAAGAAAGGCAGAGGCAGGCATTTCTGTAAGTATGAGGCCAGCCTGGTCTACAGAGTTAGTTCCAGGAAATCCAGGGCCACACAAAAGAAAACCTGAATTGAAAAAACAAAAACAAAACAAACCAACAAACAAAGAGAGCTTACTGCTCTGTAGAGGACTGGAGTTCAGCTCCCAGCACCCACATCCTTTGGGTGACTCACAACTGCCTGGAATCCCAGCTTCAAGGGAGCCAGGCCCTTTTTTGGTCTCTTCAGATACCTGCTCTCACCCCCAATCCCCCAAACACAAATTGACAATAACAATAAAATAAAAATGTAAACCAAGTTATTAAAATCTAAAAAAAGATGTTAAAAGAACCCAGGTCCTTTGGAAGCGCCGTCAGTGCTCTTAACCGCTACGGCAGCTCTTGAGCACCCACAGGATGCTTTGATTACTATATCTTCTCTCTCCTTGCCCCCTATATTCCTACTCCAGGGAGATGGGGCAGGCACAGGGTAAGTGCCCTGAGCCTGGGAAGCATGGTTAGAATTCTCAATGTAGCTGAAGCTGGGGTGGCCTGGGGACTGGTGTGAGGTCTCTCTCTGCAGGTTTCTCCTGGGGTGTGGGCAGTTCTGCCTACCAGACAGAAGGTGCGTGGGACCAGGATGGGAAAGGACCCAGTATCTGGGATGCCTTCACACACAGCGGGGAGGGGAGAGTGCTAGGGGACGAGACGGCGGATGCAGCCTGCGACAGCTACTACAGAGTGCAGGTGAGTGAAGGGGGCTGTGTGGACCATCCTGCCTGAGAGCTGGGGAGTGAAGTATGGGGACATTTCACTGACAGTGTCAACCTGATGTTCTGCTAATCACCCTGTACCCAGTCAAAGATGATGGGGCCGAGGTGGCCAGGGCTGTGAGTGCCAGGATGTAGCAAGAAGGAAAACAAGATGAGACAGTACCTTAGTCTAAGCAATCAGGTGCAAAAAGGCCAGTGGCTTGGCCCCAGAGGGGTAGTTCACCTTCATAACCTCTTTTCTCATTCAAGTTTATGGAAATCTTATGTGAACTTCTCAAAAGTTTTCCCAACCCTTTGTGTGTGAGCACACTGCCAGCACGGAGAGGGAATTCAGAGTAAAGCCCTTATAGAGGGTTACTTGGAGCTACAGACATGCATGATTCTCTAGGCCCCCAAGACTTGTCTTCCCCTGATTCCCTACCTGTCTACACAGGAGGACATTGCCCTGGTGAAGGAACTACGTGTCAGTCACTACCGACTGTCCCTGTCTTGGCCACGGATCCTGCCCACAGGGATCAGAGGTGAGCTACAACAATCGTTCCCTAGGCTCTGCAGGGATCAGTGTCAAGTGAGGGTGACCAGCCCAGGAACTCTATGGCTCAGGACATTGTGGGCTATGGGTGCTTCAGCCTGCAGAAGGCCACAGAATCCAAGAATGATGTACCCCACAGAAAAGGCCAAGTTCTGTTTCACTTACAGCCGAACAGGTGAACAGGAGAGGAATTGAATTCTACAGCGATTTCATTGACGCCCTGCTGAAGAGCAACCTCACCCCCATTGTGACCTTGCACCACTGGGATCTGCCTCAGGTGAGGGCCAGGCAGGGTTCAGCGGGAGGGAGCCTGGTGTGAGGACCTAAAGTGACCAAGACAGGGGGCAGAGCCTGGGGTTTGGCCCTGGACAGAAAGATGTGAGGAATAACTGTCTTAGCTTATTTGTTCTGCTATGGCAGAATGTCAGACAGGTGAAGTTAAAAACATTGGAAGACTGTCTCAGTTCTGGAGGCTGAGAAGTTCGAGGTCAAATGCTAAAAGAATCAGTAAGGTGGGGACTGGCTTGTGCTTCCAAGATGGGGTCTTGAACACTGTGTCCTCTAGGGGGCGCTGTGTTCCCACAAGGCAGAGGAGAAAGGGCGAAAGGAATGAACTAGCTTTGTCATTTTATAAGATACAGGAAATTTACACATGGAGCTGGAGAGATGAGGGTCAGTCAATAACACCTGCTGTGCAAGCATGAAGGCTTGAGCATCATCCCCAACACCCACATAAAACGCTGGGCAGGGTTAGTGGCATGTGCTTGTAATCATAGCACTTGGTGAACACGGCCACCCAGCCTAGCACAATCAAAGTTATGAGCTCCAGTCTCAAAACTGAAGTGGAGAGTGACTGAGGAAGACACCTGTCGCTGATTCTACCCACCCCCACATGCACATACACACACAGGAAGCATTAGCTGGGAGGCCATGCAGCTTGCAGTAAATGAAGAGTGTGGTCCTAAGGTTTTACACAATACTTGGCATAAGGAAAATAATTAAGAAGAAAAAAAAATCCTTCTGTGTGTATGTGTGCTGCTGGGTACTGAACCTAGGGCCTTGTGCTTGCTGGGCAAGCACTCTCCTACTGAGCCAAAGAAGCCTAAGCCTGAGAAATACCTTTGGACCCAGGTTTGATGACATGGTGTATTCCACAGGTTTTGTTCAGTCTTTCTTTCCTTTGTTTGAGGCAGTACCATTTGCCCTCATTCATGACCTAGCCATGGATGGACAGGCCTAGCATGTCCTAGCATGCTTCAGAAATTGCTGTCAACACTCAGACAGTTTTCCTTCCTTCACCTGGGCCCAACAGAGATCACAGCAAGTCAGGGATATGGCTGCCTGCAACCTATATCACATGGCGGTGGGTTCAAAGTTTTAAGGAGAATTGGGGGAGAATAGAGCTGTAACCCACGCACTGAAGGGTAAAGGAAGGAGGTAGGTGGTAGGAATGTGGACTTCTGGGTAGGAGGGGCACACTGTAGAGCATTACTGGAGACTGGAGGAGTGGCCTGAGGTCCCCAAATCTAAGGTAAGGTGACTGGAAATTGGGTTAGGAAATTATTAAGGGCTGGAGCAGAGGACACAGCAGGCTTGCAGCTTCCACTAACCTGTCAAGGAGCATCTCTTCAAGCAAACTAGGAAGGCATTAGGTAACCAGGACAGATGGATGATTAGCCTTGTGCACAGGTAGTGGATAGCAGGCTTCTGCCATAGAGGTAACCTCACCTTAATAGATGAGGCTCCAGTGAGTGCCCTGACTTCAGCAAGACCTCAAAACTCTCGCCAGGGCTTCCCTGCCAGTGCCACGCCTTCTACCGTCACAAGGGATATTCTAGACATTTCCTTGATATCTCACCCAGCACCCACCTAGGCAGACCAAGCTTGCTAAATACCTGAGGATGACCCCGAACTTCTGATCCTCCTTCCTCTACCTCCTGAGTGCTAGGAGAGGCATGTTTCCCTATGCCCAGTTTACATCTTAAATATCCAATCTGTCAGCTTCTTCCTAAGCAGGCATTTCCAGTTTCCTCTGCTCCCTCCAGTTTCTGGCTTAAAGGATGCACTCCCTTGCCATAGAGAGTCTGTGCCCTGATGTAGGTGTGTCTTTCTATGTGTTACTTTCATTGGTTAATAAAGAGACTGCTTGGCCTGATAGGTCAGAACGTAGGTAGGCGGGGAAGACAGAACAGAATGCTGGAAAGAAGGGAAGTGAGGCAGTCTCCATAGCTCTCCTCTCCGAGATGGACTCCGGTTAGACTCATCCAGGTAAGCCACAGTCAAGTGGCGATACGTATTAATAGAAATGGGTTAAATCAATATATAAGAGCTAGCCAATAAGAGGTTATAACTAATGTGCCAAGCAGTGTTTAAAATGAATACAGTTTCCATGTAATTATTTTGGGTAAAGCTAGCTGCTAGCCGGGCCGGCGGCTGGAAGCAGCCTGCCGTTCCTTTCAACAGTGCCCCACCTTGCATCTTTGCTCCCATTCTTGTACTGTAGTCATCCATGCTTTAGCCACATATTTCACCAATCTACTCCACAGTCTCCCCAGGGTGCCAGTTTTTCTCTCTGTTGGCAGATGCTCCAGGTCACATATGGTGGGTGGCAGAATGTGAGCATGACCCGATACTTCAGGGACTATGCTGACCTGTGTTTTGAGGTCTTTGGGGACCGAGTGAAACACTGGCTCACATTCAGCGATCCTCGGGTAAGTAGAGGCTCCTCTTCAGATGGAATGTCCCCTGTTGTCTCTTATGGTCCTGGGATCCCCACTGCTGTCTCTGCAGACAATGGTAGAAAAAGGCTACGAGACCGGTCTCCATGCACCAGGTCTGAGGCTCCCGGGCACTGGTCTGTACGTGGCTGCACACCATATCATTAAGGTAAGCCAGATCCTTCCAGGACAAAGGTTGGGCTCCAGGTAGAGCCATTGCCTCAGGTCACGCTGATCCTCTGCAACATCAGTATGTGCCATGAGCCTTTCTTCTTTGAGGGTACTTAGAGGGCATGTCCTGTCACCTCACTGTGACTTTGCCATGGCAGAGGTATGACAATGGCTGTTGTTAGTCTTACCAAGAGCACAGAGGTAGGCATTTGGGAATTTGTCGTGTTCAGGTATGAACCTGGTGAAGAATGGTAATGGAAGAAGGGGTATGTGACAGTAGATAAGGATCAAAACACACAGAAGAGTAGGAAAAGACAGAGGTTGCAAGGACCAGCAGGAAGAGTCAGCATGGGCACTGGCCATGACCTGGAGTTTTGGAAGAAGAGGGAGGCAGCTACAATCTTTTCCAGTTGGAGGTATGTGGGCTGGAGGGTTGTCTCTGCTTGAGTGAAGTCTTCAGGACAGCCGGTTGGCTAGCAGCATAAATGGGGAGGAGACGTTCAGAGAAGGTGCCTAGCATGCACTGAAAGCTGAGGAAGGACAGAGACAGTGAGTTGCTTATAAGACGTGAATGAAAATACAGGGAGTGATGCTGGGGCTACAAACCTGATGAAAGCCTTCCCTGGGGACACCTGGCTGGGAGGACAAGCTGCTCCAGCTGAAAAGATAGACCACTGGTGACACATTAACCCAAGTTCATGTGAGGGAAACGACTCTCACGGTTCTGACTTTTTATAAAATTGACTTCTTGTTTTGAAACAGGGATTTTGTGTAGTCTTGGCTATCCTGGAACCGTCTCTGTAGACTAGACTGGCCTTGAACTCACAGAGATCTACGTGTCTCTGCCTCCTGAGTGCTGGGGGTTAAAGGCATACACCCCCACTGCCTGGCAACTTGAGATTTTTAAAACAATTTATTTTTGATTTATGAGTATGAGTGTTTTCACCTTTATGTACATAAGTGCAATACAGTGTTCTGGTAGGCTAGAAAAAGGGAGCTGGATCTCCTGGGATAAGAGTTACAGGTGGTTGTGAGGTGCTATGTAGGTGCTAGGAACTAGGGTCCTCTGCAAGGGCAGTCAGTGCTCCAGCCTGACCTAAGAGTTCTTTAATGGGCAGTTACATGGGCAGAACAATCTATGAAAGAATGATATGGACAGTTAGGATTCTGATACTCTCCAGCCCCGTTTTTCTACTTACTAGGTAGCAAAATAACAAGCATAGGAACTGGAAAGATAGCCTAATCTGTAGGTGCTTGCCATGCAAGCATGTTGGATCTGAGTTCAACCTCTAGCACCTAGGTAAAAAGAGTTACTAACCCTAAGTAGGGTCAAAGTTAGGGTTACTAATGCTGTGATGGCCAGGACAGATTTCTTCTTTTTCTTTCTTTTTGTTTTGTTTTTCAAGACAGGGTTTCTCTGTATAGCCAGTCCTGGCTATCCTAGAACTCACACTGTAGATCAGGCTGGCCTTGAACTCAGAGAACTCAGAGATCCACCTGCCTCTGCCTTCTGAGGGCTGGGATTAAAGGTGTGTATCACCACTGCCTGGCTGGCCACACAATTTTTTATTAATTAAATTTTTTCATTTATTTTACATACTGACCAGTTTCCCCCCCCCTCCTCTCCTTCCGTTCCCTCCCCCAGTCTCCTATCTACCCCACTTCCCATCCACTCCTCTTCCATCTTTGTTCAGAAAGGGGCAGGCCTCCCATGGTAATCAACAAAGCCTGGCACATTAAGTTGAGGCAGTACTAAGCTTCTCCCCCTACATCAAGGCAGAACAAGGCACTCCGGCAAGGGCAATAGGTTCCTAAGGCCAACTCAAGCACCAAGGACAGGTCCTGATCACACTGCTGGGCGCCCCACAAACAGACCAAGCTACATGCCTGCCACACACAGGCGGAGGTAGGTCCCATGCAGGTTCCCTAGCTGTTGGTCCAGAGTTCATGAGCTCCCAGGAGCTCAGGTCAGCTGTCTCTGCCACACAACTCTTATAAAGAAAAGCATTTAACTGCGGGCTTGCTTAAAGTTTCAGAGGCTTAGTCCACTAACGTCATGGCAGGGAGCATAGCAGCAAGCACGGTGCTGGAGAAGTAGCTGAGAGCTACATCCTCATCTGCAGGCAGAGACAGACTGATTGGGCTTGGCATAGGCTTCTGAAACCTCAAAGCCCACCTTTGAGGAAGTGACACACTTCCTCCACCTCCTAATACTTCTAATCTTATCAGAGTTCCACTTCCTGGCGACTAAGCATTCAAATATGAGGGGGGAAGCATTCTTATTCAAAGAACCACTCTATTACTGCGGCCAAAACACTTGGTGAGGAAAGGGTTTATTTCACTCACAGATATGTGTATATTGTATATATGTACACACACACACACACACACCCATCATCAGAAACAATGAGGGCAGGAACTCCAGCAGGGCAGAGCCTGGAGGCAGAAGCTGATGCAGAGGCTTCAAGGAGTACCTTACTGACTTGTTCCTCATGGCTTGCTCAGTCTACTTTCTTTTTCTTTCTTTCTTTCCTTCCTTCCTTTTCCTCCCTCCCTCCCTTCTTTTAATTTTAAATTCTTTCATACAGTACATCCCAACCACAGTTTCCCCTCCTCCACTCCTCCCAGTTCTTCCCCCACCTCTCTTCTTCCCCAGACCCACTCCTCCTCTATACCTCTCAGGAAAGAGGTTTCTCAGGGATATGAACCATAGTTCATATACAAATTATGATAAGACTAGGCACAAACCCTTATATCAAGGCTGTGTGAGGCATCCCAGTAGGAGGAAAAGCGTCCCACAAGCAGGTAAAAGAGTCAGAGAGACCCCCTGCTCCCACTGTTAGGGGTCCCCTAAAAAGACCAAGCTAATAACCATAATACATATATAGAGGATGTAGCACAGATTCATGCAGGCTCCATGATTGCCCCATCAGTCTCTGTGAGCTCCCATGAGCCCTGCTTAGTTGACTCTATAGGCTGTGTTCTCCTGGTGTCCTATAACTCTTCCTCCCCCTCTTTCACGGGGTGTCCTGAGCTTCAAGGGGAGGGACCTGATGGAGATCTCTACTTTGGGTTCTCTCTGCCTAAAGTTTGACTGTGGGTCTCTTCACCTGCTCCCAACTGCTGCTGGAGGAAGCCTCTCTGATGACAACTGGTCAGTCTACTTTCTTATAGAACCCTGGTCCACCAGTCCAGGGGTGGACCCACTCACAAAAGTCTGGGCCTTCTCCATCAATCACAAATTAACAAAATGTCCTACAGGCTTGCCTAAAACTGATCTTCTGGAGACATTTTCTCAATTGAGGTTCCATCCTCTCTGCTAACTTATGTCAAGTTGACATAAAACTAGCCAGGGCATTGGGTGTGGTGAAGCATGCTTGTAATCCCAGCACTGGGGAGGCTGAGACAGCAGGATCCTTGGGAGTTTGCTGGCCAGAATCCAGCATACTGCAGCAAGCATCATCCAGGTCCCAATGAGAGACCCTGTTTCAAAATCCAAGGTGGATGGCTCACGAGGAACAACACCCAAGGTTGATTTCTGGCCTCCACATAAACATGCACATGTACCTGAATGCTGCATGCATGCGTGTACACACATACACACCCAAGATTGACCTCTGACCTCCACATATACATACACATGTACCTGTCTGCTGCGTGAATGCAGGAGTAACAAGTAACACTCAAAACCTATGTTGCCTGAAATATTTGGGTTTAAACATGGATGAGTATCAAGCTTCAGCAAATGTCAGAAACACGTGGGGATTACATTAGAACACAGATAGCAGTTGGGCTTGGTGATAACACATTTGTCATCCCAGCATTTGGGAGGTAGAGGCAGGAGGTGTATGAGTCTTTCTCTGGACCACCAGCCCCCAGGAAATGACAGAGATTCCTTACTATGAAAGCTTGGCCTTAGCTTAGACTTGCTCTTAGTTTAGACTAGCTCTTGTAACTTATTTTTTTTCCCCTAAGTGAGAAGTTGATTTTTTAAAAAGTAATTTTTATTTATTTTATGTATATGGTGTATATGTATATGGTACTCTATCTACACATAGAGCCTATATAGCAGAAGAGGATATCAGATCCCACCATAGATGGCTGTGAGCCACCATGTTATTGCTGGGAACTGAACTCAGGACTTCTAGAACAGCTGCCAATGTTCTTAACCACCGAGCCATCTCTCCAGCCTCAGCTCTTAGAACTTAAATTAACCTGTTTCTATTAATCTACCACCTGACTCTTTAAGTTTCCTCCATTCTGTTCATCTGACTCCCTCTGCATCTCACTAGCTAAATACCCTGTGCCTCATAGTCTTCCCAACTTCCTCTCTCTCCCTGGAAGTTCCGCCTATATGCTTCCTGTCTAGCTAGTGGACATTTAGCTCTTTACTAAAGCAATCGGGTGCCTTAGGCAGGTGAGGCAAAACAAAGACACATCTTCATGCAATGTAAACAAATATCCTGAAACAAAGAGAATTAAAAGCTCAAAGCCAGTTTTGATTACACAGTAAGTGTGAGGACAATTCAGGATTCCATGAGCCCTTGCCTCAAAACAGAGAAGAAACAACCCAAACAGAATGCTGGGTCCTGCTTCTAGAGCTTGCTCCAGCAGGTCCTAGTGAGGGGCCTCAGGAACTCATGCTTCCCCCAGGTCCTCAGGAGGACTGCTGCTTTTCTAGAGACCTACACCAACAATTCAGAGACAATAAAGGATGGGCGAGGGGATGATAGCTCAGTTGATAGAACACTTGCTTGACAAGGGCAAGACCCTGGATTCAGTTCTAATGTGGGGGTGGGTAGCTCTAGCAGTAAACACTCAAACTGACTTCTGCCCATTTCGACTATGCGTCCTCTACAGTACAAAGGAAGTCAGAGGGAGGGAGTCCATGGTAATTGAGACTGGATTCAGAAACATGGGAAATTTGAAGTTAGAGCTTAAGAGTAGGGAAGGCAAGAAAGGCCACTCCCAGCCAGCAAGATGGCTCACTGGGTAGACATTTGCTGCTGAGAATGACAGCTTGAATTCAATTCCTGGTATGGTGGAAGGAGGGAACTGACTGAACTGAACTCTGAGCCACCCCCCATAAGTAAACAAAAGAAAGGAAGAAAGAAAGCAGGGAGGAAGAAAGGAAAAAAGACAGGCAGGCAGGGGAATGGAAGAGCCAGGTACATGCACTAATTCTTTTTTTCAGGCACACGCCCAAGCCTGGCATTCTTATAACAACACATGGCGCAGCAAACAGCAAGGTGAGCTGGGACCCTCAGGCTCAGACACAGGCCCGGAGGAGCCAGAACCTGCCTCTCTCTACCTCGATTTCCTTCCTTTAAGGCATGGTGGGAATTTCACTCAACTGTGACTGGGGGGAACCTGTGGACATCAACAACCCCAGTGATATTGAGGCAGCTGAGAGATACCTACAGTTCTGCCTCGGTTGGTTTGCCAACCCTATTTATGCTGGTGACTACCCCCAAGTCATGAAGGACTACATTGGTGAGCTGAGTCATGTTTTTGTTTTTAACTTACCTTCTCATGTGTTCATGTGTGCAAGTAGCATATGTGTTCAGGCATGCATACATACAATCTCCTTAGTAGGTCCTCAGTCATTATCCACCTTGTTTTTTGAGACAGGGTCTCTTACTAGAGTGGAGCCTGCTGAGTAGGAGAGGCTAATTGGCCACTGAGTTATAGGAATCCACTTAATTCTGCTTTTCCAGTGCTGGGATTCAAGCACATACCATCATTCTCAGTTAAAAAAAAATTATTGTGTGTGTGCTTTGTGTGCGCCCAAACACGCATGCATTTCAAGGCACAAGTGTGAAGACAAAAGACAACTCTAAAGTTGGTTCTTTCCTACCATGAAATCCAGGGAATGAACTGAGGTCAAAAGGCTTGCACATAAAATACCTTTATCTGCTGAGCCATTTCAACAGCTAACACTCAGCCTTTTTTTTTTTTTAAAATAAAACATGGATTCTGAGAATCAAGTCCTCATGCTTACAAGGCAAGCACTTCACCAACTGAGCTATTTCCCCAGCCCTAAACTTTAAAAAAAAACAAAAAACACAACTATACATATTTATAGGGCCTTGTGCTGTTTCAGTATATATGTACACTGATATTTACGTCAGGTTAAACACAAGTTATTTATCATTGCTTTATAATAAAAACTCTTAAACCCCTTCTAGTTTTTTGAGAGGCACAGTACACTGTTACCACAGTCGCTCTGCAGGCAACTGCACAGTCGAGCTTCTGTGGCGGGGCCTCTGGAACCGCACACCAGGCTCAGCTCTAGGTCTGCTGCCCTCTAAGTGAGAGCAGTGGAGGTTGTCTTTCTGGGTCTGGCTTCAACGTCCTTAGGAAATGCAATTTAAAAAGTTTTGAGAGTTCATCTCACCCTGGTCAGAATGGCCGTCAAGAAAACAAACCCTGGCTAGGACTTGGGAAAGAACTTTCATTCACTGCTGGTAGGAGGAAAAACTGGCGCAGCCACTATGAAATCAGTGCGGCTCCCTCATAAACAAACGAATTTAAAAGCAACTAAAAATAGGACTAGAGATGACTCAGTGAGTAAAAGCACTTGCTACCCAAACTTGATGATCTAAAATAAATTTCCAGGGCCTATAAGGTGGAATGAAAGACCAGATTCCTTCAAGTTGTCCTCTGACCTACACACTGTTGCCATGGCAACCTCCAAATAGAAATAAGAACTACTAATTGACCTAGCTATATATCACTGGACTAGGCAACACAAACACACTAAAGACATACTTAGATATTCATGTTTATTGCTGCATTGTTCACAATGGCCAGAAAATGGACCCATCCTAGATATTCATAAACAGAGGAATGTATAATGAAAATGTTGTATATAAAAACAATGGAGGGGGGGGGCCCCCCCCCCCCCGGCTCCAGAAAGGGTTTCTCTGTATAACTGTCCTGGAACTCATTCTGTAGACCAGGCTGGCCTCAAACTCACAGAGGTCCACCTGCCTCTGCCTTTCCTCACCAGTGCTGGGATTAAAGATGTGTGCCAACCCTGCCCAGCTACACAAAGAAATTTTATTCAGGCATTAAAAAGAGAAATAATGACCTTTGTAGGAAATGAACGGAACTAGAAATTATGTTAATCAAAATAAATCAATTAGAAAGATAAACATTGGATGTTTTCTTCTAAATGAAGACAGAGTTTAGTGGTGTGTATATAGAAGGATACTTGAAGAAGGGAAGAAGAGATCTTTAAGAAAGGGGGATAAGAGAAAAAGAGACTACTAGAATACATAGGGCAAGAGGGGACCAACTGAGAAAGAGGACAAATAAGGACAAAACATACATCTTAGGGTTTTTACTACTGTGAAGTAATAATAATAATAATATAATATAGCAACTCTATATTTTAAAGGCAATATTTAATTGGAGCTGGCTTATAGTTCAGAGGTTTAGTCTATTATCATCATGGCAGGAAACATGACAACATGTAGGCAGATATGGTGCTGGAGAAGGAGCTGAGAGTTCTGTATGGTGTATCTATACATAGCAGAAAGAGAAAATGCCACACTGAATATGAGATGTCAAGGCCCACTCCCAGTGACACTCTTCCTCTAACAAGGCCACACCTCCCAACACTGCCTATAGTTGGAATTTTTGTTTTGTTTTGTTTGTTGTTGTTTTTACTCTTTGGGGGCCTGCCACCCAGCTCTCAAATAAATACATGGAGACTTATTCTTACTTATGAATGCTGAGCCTTAGCTTGGCTTATTTCTAGCCAGCTTTTCTTACTTGGATTAACCCGTTTCTCTTCTTCCACATTTTGCCTCTGGGCTTTTTACCTTTCTTTATTCTAGATATCTTTCTTCCCTTCTTACTCTGTTGCTGGCTGTGTGGTTGGGTGGCTGGCCCCTGGCGTCCTCCTCTCCCCCTTTTCTCACTCCTCACTCCTCTCTTGAGCCTAGGTTTCTCCTCCTATTTATTCTCTCTTCCTGACAGCCCTGCCCATCCCTCTCCTGTCTTGCTATTGGCCATTCAGCTCTTTATTATACCAATCAGGTGTTTTAGACAGGGTAAATTAACAAAGCTTTACAGAGTCAAACAAATGCAACATAAAATGTAGCACATCTTTGCATCATTAAACAAATATTCCACAGCATAAACAAATGTAATATATCTTAAACTAATATTCCACAGGTATCAGTCCCTATGAGCCTATGGGGCCACTTCCATTCAAACTACCATAGCATAACACAACATACAAAAATGCCATCATATAACTTTGTATGCTAACATAAAAAAATTCAGACCTTCAGTATGACTGGACCTAGCCCTATTTGTAGATGCATGTAGCACTAGCTACTATGTGAGACAGTGCAGGGATAGTGCCCAGTGACTTTCCTAGTTACTATATTTGACTGACGGCAATAACATGCTGATGATCTAAGGATATGAATAATATAAACCTTTCATTCTTTTAATCAAAGTCAATAGTCTCCCTGCAAATGATCTTATTGTCCTATTATATCATTGTTTGTTTGCCAGAGTATGTAATGCCATAATCAGGCCTGCATCTTTTTTTTCCTTGAATATATATCTAGGCAATCTTTGCATGTTAGCATAGAAAATGTTGCCTTGTTTATTCTAACGGCTACACATTGTAGTACTGACCATTCAATAATAATAATTATTATTTTAAGAGGGGTTGTTTTAGATTTTATGTGTATGAGTGTTTTGTCAGTATGCATGTCTGTATTGCACATGCATGTATGTTATCCATGGAAGCTAGAAGGCAGCACAGGATCCTCTGGAACTGGAGATATAGATAGCTGTGAGCCACTTGTGGGTGGTGGGAACTAAACTCCGGTTTAGTGGCAGCAAGTATTAACTGCAGAGTCATCTCTCCAGAACCTATAATTAGTACTGTGGTGCTGGGGATCAGACCCAGGGCCTTGTGCATGCTACACCCTCAGTTTTCCACCATTTATTTAGTCATTCCCTTGCAATAAAAATATAAGTTGTTTCCAACCTTTTGCTACTCAACTCACAATGAAGACACCTGAACACAGATCCTTTTCCATGGGTGGACAAAGTACAAGATAAAGAGGTTGGAGTTTGTTAAAAGATGTACCATTTCAAACCTAGACTGGGGCAAAATTTCCCAGTACAGAACCGGTAACATCTTACACTGCCAATGATGTAGGAAGACATCCATGACTCTCCCCTACCACCAGTGGCCTTCATTTCCTTCTAGGAATGTTTCAATGTAAGGAACAATAAAACCCTGCCTTTTTTCAGATAGCCAAGGAGCTGTGCATATACCACTCACTGATTAATGAGTGAAAACATTCCACTCTTTGTGTGCTAGGGGTCCAATCTAGGGCCTTATACTTGCCTGTCAAGTACTCTACTACTAAGTACACTCCTAGCCATAAATAGTGAGCATATAAATTTTGAAACTTTTTAGATAAAGACTGAGGAGATGACTCAGCAGTTAAGAGCATTTGATGCTCTTCCAGAGGGACAGGGCTCAGTTCCTAGCATCTGCATATGGTAGATCACAGCTCATGCTAACTCCAGCTCAGAGGAGACAACACTTGCTTTTGATCTCAGCAGGCATTGTACTCATGTAGACAGACACACACATAAACATATACATAAATAAAATAAATCCTTAAAAATAAATTAAAGTAGACGGTGTTCAAATGTCACAATTCCAACTTGAAAGGTCAAGGGTGTGTTTTCCACACAGCCAAATTCTGTTTTTATTTTTATTTTCCCAAGATATGGTTTCTCTGTGAAATAGCCCTGGTTCTGCCTCCCTAGTGCTGGGATTGAAGGAATGTGCCACCATACCCAGCTACAGCTGGATTCTTTAAAGTTCAGCTTTTTAAAAAAGGTTTTATTATTTTTGTCTTATGTGTATGAATGCTTGCCTGCATGTATGTGCACCATGTACTACCTTGTGCCTCTGGGTGTCAGAAGAGGGTGTTAGACCTCCTAGAACTAGAGTTATGAACAGTTGTGAGCTGCCATGTGGTGTGGAGAACTGACCCTGAGTTCTCTGCAAGAGCAGTAAATGCTCTTACCTGCTGAGCCATCGCTCCAGCACCAAAGCCCAGCTTATACATCACCACTTCAGCAGCACTGTGGGACAAAGTGAGATGATTGTGAGAAATAGACTTGGTTAAATTCTCATATTCTCTCTTGTCAGGAACAAAGAGTACGGAGCAAGGCCTGGAGATGTCAAGGTTGCCCACATTCTCCCTTCAGGAAAAGAGCTACATTAGAGGCACATCTGACTTCCTGGGACTGGGCCACTTTACCACTCGATACATCATTCAGAGGAAATACCCTTCCCACCAGGGGCCCAGCTTCCAGAATGACCGTGACTTAATAGAACTTGTGGACCCCAACTGGCCAGATATGGGGTCTTCATGGCTCTATTCTGTGCCATGGGGATTCAGGAGGCTTCTCAACTTTGCCCAGGTACTTATCCCAGCAAGCTGTGTAAGACTTGCAGACCTGAGTTTAGTCTCTTCCAGCGGACACTCTGATGACTACATAAGAAAACTGATAAATACTAGGTATGGAGGCACACAACCGCAAGCTTGGCCTTTGGGAGGCTGAACACAGGAAGATCAGGAATTCAGTCTTGGCCTCTACATACTGCATACTGAGCTCAAGGCCAATCTGAACTGCATGAGACTCTACTACAAAGAAACAAACAAAAACAACTCAAAACAACAACAAAAACTTAATAAGTCAATAATCCCAGTACCTGTACTTTACAGGCTACTAAACATAGGCCCTGCATGCAGACTGATACTTATGTAAACAACCACTTTCAATTACAGCTGAAATCTGACATTTAATTTGCCTTTTATTTTAAATTTATTTATTATGTATATATAGAGTTCTGGGCACCAGATCTCATTATAGATGAGATGGAAGGTTGTGAGCCACCATGTGGTTGCTGGGAATTGAACTCAGGACCTTTGGAAGAGCAGTCAGTGCTCTTAACCTCTGAGCCATCTCTCCAGCCCTTAATTTGCCTTTTTTAAGTGCTTATTTTTATTTTATATATATGAGCATTTGCCTGAATATATGTATGCACACCACAGTGATGGTTGGTACCCATGAAGGTTAGAAGAGGGGGTCAGAGTCCCTGGAACTACTTACAAACAGTTGTGAGCCGCCATGTTTGTGCTGTGAACTAAACCTGGATACTCTGGAAAACAGCACTGAGTTATCTCTCTAGCCCCTCAGTCTAAATTTTTTTTAATTTACCCTTTGACAATTCCATACATGTATGCAATATATTTTGATCATTTCCATTTTCCATTAACTCTTCTTTCCCCACTCCCACTTGACATTTCTTCCAAACAAATTTGTCTCCTATTTCCATGTCTTTGTGTGTCTGTGTGTGTGCGACCCATTGGGTTCAATGCGGTTGCTTACGTGCACATGGGTGAGAGGCTATTTACAATATTTACTCTCACAGAGGACAACTAACCAGTGGTTACACCACTGGAGAAAATGACTGCTCCTCTTTCAGATATTTTTAGTCCATTTAAGCCCCACCTGATTTGAAATGGAATTTGTGGGAAAGAATAAGACCCTGAAATGCATTTTCCCAAATAAAGCCAATTTATTGAGAACTGTAGTCTTTCATATCAACTCACCTGTCTACACTCCTCTCTCAATAAATATGTAACACCTACTAAGTGTGATACTCACTAAGAGCTAACATGTACTTCATTAGAATATGGCAGCCATGTGACCCAGATAACTTGTAAGTCAGATATTTGGAATTCATTTTTGCTTCCCTTTCAGACTCAATATGGTGATCCCCCCATATATGTGACAGAAAACGGAGCATCTCAAAAGTTACACTGCACTCAATTCTGTGACGAATGGAGAATTCAGTACCTCAAAGGATATATAAATGAAATGTTAAAAGGTGAGATAGGCCAGGCGGTGATGGCACATGCCTTTAATCCCAGTACTCGGGAGGCAGAGGCAGGTGGATCTCTGTGAGTTTGAGGCCAGCCTGGTCTACAAGAGCTAGTTCGAAGACAGGCTCCAAAGCTACAGAGAAACCCTGTCTCAAAAAATCAAAAAAAAAAAAAAAAAAAGTGAGCTAAGATTTGACTTATTATGTTTTTCTACTTAGACAAAATTTAAACTACCATCTACTATCAACTAAAACTTGCTTCTAAATCTCATAAAACAACTCAATACTATCTATATACTTCTAAGTGCATAAAATGTATTAAAAATGCAATCATATATGTCTTCACAGCTATAAAAGATGGTGTGAATATAAAAGGGTATACTTCCTGGTCTCTGTTGGATAAATTTGAATGGGAGAAAGGCTATGCAGATAGATATGGATTCTACTATGTTGAATTCAATGTGAGAAACAAGCCTCGCTATCCCAAGGCTTCGGTTCAGTATTACAAGGAGATCATCACAGCCAACGGGTTTCCAAACTCACAAGAGGTACGGCTAACTTACCCACATCTGTTCTGTTCTTAGAAGAACTAACAGTTGAGATGCACCACACCTCTCCTGTCTTCTACGGAAGGGGATGGGGAACACAGCCTCCTCTGCATCTCATCACCTCTGCTTAGAATGGAGCAACACACCTCAAAATTTAGTCCCTTCCAGATAGAGTATCAGGGTGACAAGAGTCCTGTCTGTCACATAAAGATTCCAATTGTTTTCTGTGTTGTTAGAACCAGGGATTGGTCAGAGCTTTACCTATGACAGGCTCCAGCTCCAGACGTTGTTTTTCCCCCACCCACCCTTCAGGTTCTTATTTGCATCTAGATTGGAATTCTGATGAATTAAAAATGTTACACTGATGCAAACAAATACTACCTACTCTTCAATATGTGAAAAGTTCTATAAATCAAATTTAGGACTATATCTTTTCCCACCAAATGACAGAGCCATATACATGAACTGCCTCCAAGCCAAGATTAAACAGAAACAAATTTTAAGATTTTAAAACCTATCAAATAGGAGTCTTAGTGTTCTTGTCAATTGTCAGCACAACTGCCTTTAACTCCTAGCTCCAGGCAATCCAACACCCTCTTCTGGCCTCTGTTGGCGGAGGCCACTTGTTCATTCCCAGCCGCCCAGACCCGAAATAATCACACAGAAACTATATTAATTACAATACTGTTTGGCCAATAGCTTAAGTGTATTTCTAGCTAACTCTTACATCTGAAATTAACCCATTCCTATTATTTTATATTTTACCATGAGACTCATGGTTTACCAGTAAGGTTCCCATGTCTCCTTGACTCCGCCTACTTTTCTCCTCTATATCTGCTTGGAATTTCCACCTGGCTTTACTCTGTTAAGCCATTGGCCAAAATCAGCTTCTTTATCAACCAGTGGCAATAAAACATATTCACAGCATACAGAGGGGAATTCCACATCAGGCCTCCAAGGGCATACACAGGCACATTTTTTTTTTAAGATTTATTTATTTATTATGTATACAACATTTCTTCCATGTCTGCCTGCCAGAAGAGGGTGCCAGATCTCATTACAGATGGTTATGAGCCACCATGTGGTTGCTGGGAATTGAACTCAGGACCTCTGAAAGAGCATTCAGTGCTCTTAACCTCTGAGCCATCTCTCCAGCCCCACAGGCACATTTTAAAACAAAATTAAAATTTTAAAGAAACAAACTATCAAATAGTTCTAATAACCTACAAATTTCCCATCAGCTCTACCTTGTCTGCAGCTGCGTCTACAAGCATGGACTATAAATTATGATTTAGAAAGTTTTAATAAAAAAAATTAAAACCAAATCTGACTTCCTTGCTAGCATTGCTTCAAAGTGAACCCGTGGATCTAGAAGTGAAGTCAGTGACTACTGCCCTTAGTTCTTCGTTCTGTCAATCCTAGAGTCAATACACCTGAAGGTGGGGGTGTCTCTCAAGGTCAGCTTTAGCTGCCCAGCCAGTCTGTGGCCAGTATACATTGAGATCATCTCAAAAAAAATAAAATCCAAACTGTGGGTATATTTATAAATGTGTTTGTTTTGGTAAGACTGATGACCTAAGTTTGATCCCTGGGACTCAAGTGTTAGGGAAGAACTGATTTCTGCAAGTCTTCCACATGTATATATATGTATTTACACATACAAATGCATATGAATTAAAAAAATTCTTTCATTTATTCTAAAAACAATTTCAAACATATAAAAACATAAGGCAACCTTGCTTACTAAGTGGGTTTTCATTAGGTGGAAAGTTGGCGTCTCAAAGCTTTGGAAACTTGCTCCATCAACAACCAGATGCTTGCCACAGGTGAGGACATTCTTTATAACTATGTAATTTTACATATGATGGCATTATCAAAAGTAGCAAAATGATCTATCTAAAATCAATATTTCCAACCATTTAGGACTAAAAATGTCTTTTTCTTTAATTTTTGTCGTACAAGCATCTTTAAAATGTTATTTTTTAGGTGCCACAGCTACTAGAAGGTAGGTTTTTCCCCTCTAAGACAGGGTTTCTCTGTTTAACAGTCCTAGTTGTCCTGGAACTAGCTCTCATAGTCTAGGGTGACCTCAAACTCACAGAGATCTGCCTACCTCTCTCTCTCAAGTGCTGGAATTAAAGGTATGTGCCACCACCACCCAGCTGAAGGTAGGCTTTTGTACATACTAAGCAAGCTAAACTCCCAGCCTCTACAGCATTTTAAATGTCTATCTGTCTGTCTACCTAGGTATACATACTGACTAAATAAATTCCAGACTAATGTGGGCTAGAGACTCTATCTAAAAACAAACAAACAAACAAACAAAGCAAAACAAATAACATAAAAGAAAGAGAAAGCATGCAAGCAGATGAGAAATGAGGAAGGGTAGATTTCTTCGGTATGTGTACAGGCCAGAGGGACAACCTAGTGTTACACTCAGGAACTTCAATCACCTCCTTAGAGAATAAGTTTCTCACTGGCCTGGAGCGCATCAATTAGTCTAGACTGGCTAGTCAGCTAGCTCTGGACTCTTCCTGTCTCTACTTCCCTATCTCCGGGGTTTCAAGTAGATTGCACCTTGCCATTTTATCATTTTTATGTGGGTTCTAGAGGTCAAACAAGGCAAGTGCTTTACTGACTGAGCCATGGCCCCATTCACAAGAATGATTTCAATTACTCTAATCATTCTTTTGAATTAGACTGCAAATTATGTGCCTACCAGTTTTGTTAAAATGAGCTTGTGGAAGAAAAGGAAAAAGTAGCTATTATGAACTGGAATGAAGTAAAGCAAAACACAGGTCTTATATTAATCAAGCAAGTAACTTTTGTGTGGCACTGCTAGGAATTAAACCTAGGGCTTCAAAAACACTAGGTGCTCTACTATTGAGCTAGATCCCTATCCTTTTCACTTTTTCTTTTTAAATTTTCAACCTTTAATTGTATTTATTACTATTGTATGTATGTATGTATGTATGATGTGTATGAGAGTATGTGAGGCACTCAGGATAACTATGTGGTGTTCTATCCTTTCATCTCTCCATGGGTTCTAGAAAATTGAACTCAGGTGGTCAGGGTTGGGAGCAACAACCTTTACTCACTAGGTCATCTTAACAGCCCCACTTAAAAAAAATTTTTTTAATGTGAATGAGAGTTTTGTCTACATGTATATCTGTGTATCATGTGCATGTCTGATATGCATAGAGGATAGAAGATGGTGTCAGAACCCCTGGAACTAGTTACAGTGAGGAGCTGTCATGTGTGCACAGGGAATCAAACTTAGGTCCTCTGCGAGAGCTGCCAATACTCTTAACGGTTGAGCCATCTCTCCAGCCTGGGCCCTGCTTTTTGAGACAAGGTCTCACTAACTTGCCCAGGATGACTTTAAACTCAGTAGCCTTGATCCTCCTACTCCTGTCTCCAAAGTAGTTAGGATTACAGGCTTGCAAGAGATCTTCAGCAAATAATCAGAACTCCCTAATATTTGAGGTTTATTTTAAGCCTCAGAGCTAACAGCAATGAACAAAGTACTGTCCTTACTATAAAATACATCATTTTACATAATTTTCTTTTTCTCTTTCTTTCTTTCTTTTCTTTTCTTTTTTTTTTTTTTTTAAGACAGGATTTCTCTGTATAGCCCTGGCTGTCCTGGAACTTGCTCTGTAGACTAGACTGCTTGAACTCACAGATCCCAGATTTGCCTGCCTCTGCCTCCTGAGTGCTAGGATTAAAGGACTGAGCTATCACCACTGGGCCAAAAAGGTATCATTTCTTATGCAATGGGATCTAAAAGGATTCAAAATACAGAATGTTTCTGAAATCTATTTTTCTGTATAAGGACAATTAAAAGAAATATACTTCCTATTTTAATATCATCCTTTAATCAAAAGACAATCAAAGCAGGTGGTACAGAAACACTCTCAACAAACTATCTTTACAGGCTAGTATATAACCATGCACCAGCATCCCCATTCCTAAATAACCAGGCCATGCAAACCATATTTCACCGATTTCCTGATGAGACTGGGAGCTTCATAAGAACACAGCCATGCCCATTTATTTCAGTCACCAGGGTGCTCAGCAGACAAATCAAGGTCTTCCGTTGGATTGGTGCCCATACCACTTGGCTCTTAAAGATTTAAACCATGTAAGAATTATCAAATAATTGTTTAGGTTTTGAATGAATTTTTGTATCAACAAAGAAACGAGTTTAAGAATTACCATTAGAAGGTGTAATATAGACACTCCTACATCTCTTAAGGGTATATAAGATACATGAAGAATAACAAACTCAAAAAACTAGAAATGTTTCCAGTGGATTCTTTTTTTTCTTTTGAGGCAGGTTTCTCTGTGTAGCCCCGGCTGTCCTGGAGCTCCCTCTGCAGACTTGTTTCTGCCTCTCCAGTGCTAAATTAAAGGAATGCACCACCATACCCAGCCCGAAGGGTTCTTTTACAAGTTCCTCAGTAAAAATCCAGAGAACCAGTGGAATATAGATGCTAATATTTTGAAATTAATGACAGCATAAATATTATCCACACTTAGGCTTCCTGAAGTTCCAGTGAAAGAACCAAATTTAGGCATTCCAGATTTCTGTAACATTTCCAGCTCTCACATAAGTTCTGTGTGATGGCAGGGATTCCCCAAGGCTGTGTGCAGCCAAGTGAATGCTCTGCCTCAGTACTATGGCCCCACCACAATTTTAAAATCTGTTTTATTTACTGTTTTGGTTTCTTTTTACAACAAATAGAGACAATTAGATATCATAGTTAAAAAGGATGGTAGCGGTGTGCACGATTAGTAATCGCACTCAGGAGGCAGAAGCAGGCAGATCTGTGAGTTCAAGGCCAGCCTGGCCTACTGTGAGAGTTCCCAAAACAAAAATAAAAACAATAAACGCACAATGGTACCTTTTCTTTAGTTTTTGTTTCAAAACAAGGTTCATGTCTGGTGGAATGTTCTCTGTCCGTTTCAGAGCCCTTGCTTAGGCACATGCACGTGGCTTCAGAGATTGTGGTACCCACAGTTTGCGCCCTCTCCATCCTCATTGCTGCCCTGCTGCTAACATTCCTCCTCAGGAGCCACAGCTGAGATGGGATCTCATCTCCACCTTCATTTTCAGAGAATCTTCAGAATCACACTTCTTTTTCTGCTTCAAAAATTTATGTGATGTCTATTTTTTAGGTTTTGAAAATTACCTCTTTCTCCCCCTACCTTTTTTGGTTTGTGCTGGAATTTAAGAATCAAAATAAAAACAAGCATAAATAAAATGAAAGCAACTTGTAATCTCAATTCTCCTGAAGTCAGAGTTAATATTTTGTTATATATCATGCACATACTTCATTTTTCAAAATTAGGAATATAATGTATAGCTTTGTAACTTGATTATTTTTCATGTATCTGGAAAGATTACTATAATATACAAATGACTGTCACCCAAGCACTGCCCTATCTGTTGGAGAACATCAATCTAAAATCCTTTCAGGCTGTGGACTATTACCTAAGCAGGTGGACAGCAAGTGAATGGAACATGTGTGTCCTGAGACCATGCATGTCAGTCACTGCTGCAGTCAGCAGGAGACACTGCAATATCAAAGTGTGGTGGTAAAACATCTGCTAGGGAACAAAGGTCTCTGTTTTTTTGTTTTGTTTTGTTTTCTCTTTAATTTAAATAAAAGCCAGGCGTGGTAGTACACACCTTTAATCCCAGCACTTAGGAGATAGGCAAGAAGATCTGAGTTTGCAGCCAGCCTGATCTACACAAGAGAGCTCTAGTACAGCCAGGACCACATAGAAAGACCCTGTCTTAAAGACAATTTTATTTTTAACTATGATAAAAATTAATCTCCATTTATTAGAGGGCAAATGGGGCTTAAGAGGGAATAGTAACATCAGGCATTTTTACTCATTATTTAATTCTATTTATTTTTGTTTCTGAAACAAAAACAAACAAACAAACAAAAAGAGATCTGATGAGCAAGGTAAAGCACACCTTAAATCCCAGCACTTTAATCCCATAATCTTTGAGGTTTATCAAGACAGGCTGGTCTTGAACCCAGAGTTCCTCCTACCTCTGCCTGCCAAGGGCTGAGATTAAGGGTGTGCACCAGCACAGCCTGGTGGTGCTTACTTTTTGATTTTAAAAATCAAAGTAAGATTTTTTAAAATGGTGTTTACATTTGGGGTCCAATGAAATTGAGCTGAGGAAAACTTTATTAACAAAATTGCTTTTTATGTCAAGTTGGGGTCTGTTTACGACTTTTCTCTTTTACCAATGATTTTGAAATTGAACTCTTCAAATTTAAAATGCAAAGATATTACCACGCAAAAGTCATTTTCATTTCTTCTAGAGTTAGCAGATGTATTAAGTGGTCAACAAAAGGAATCTGAGACTTGCCAAGTCAAGTAATAACCTGGTAGGCCATTCAGGGGATGACAGGTGAACAATTATATTCCTGATGTGTAGATTCAATATTAACAATATAAAAGTATCTAAAACATAAGGTACTCAACACATTACAGCATATTTGAGAGAACACAGATACCTTGCAGAGACCCTCTGAGCATGTTACTTGAAGTGCACCTGGCTGCAGGTAACCATGTTAATGAAAGAAGCCCTTTCTTCCAGGCTACCATTCAGTGTCAGCTCAGAAAAATCTGTAACCAGAAAGACAATGAGGTCAGTCAGACCTGTTTCACTCCTTGTATGATGCTGATTTACCACAACACAGCAGATGAGAGAAGCGTGGATGATACCTGTCTTCCACTTGAAAAGAATCTAAGGAATCTGGCAAAACTCAGCCAGGGCAATTGTTTATACAGCACACCCTCCTTTTAAACCACGATTAAACAATCCGATATTTAAAAGAACTAAAAATAGAGCAAAAGAACAAAAGAAAGAACAAACTAAGGAAAGAAAGAAAGAGAGAGAGAAAAGAAAAAAAAGAGTGAGCTACCCTCCCTTGTGAACCAACTACATTAATTTCTGTGCCACCACTTAAGGCTCAACAAGTGCCTTTTCTGAATCCTGCTATCGCGCAATTTCAGAGAAGATATTCTTATGATTTACATGGTTTTTTTGTTTTTGTTTTTTTTGAGACAAGGATTCTCTGTGTACCTTTGGAGCCTGTCTTGGAACTAGCTCTGAAGACCAGGCTGGCATTGAACTTGAATATGCTGTCACTACCTGGCTCTAAGTTCTACATCTTACTTAAAAATACATAGCATGATTTTAACTGATAATTTCCAGAAAAATTCTTTCAGTTTAAAGATTTCTGCATTTTGTCTATATGTGATAGTATTAACTGTCAATTTGACAAATTCTAGAATCACCTGGGAAACAGGACTGGGCACACTGTGAGTTATCCTGATTGTGTTAACTCAAGTGGATTGTGTTAACCTACCTGCTAAGGACAGAACCATTCATTCCCTGGGCCAGGAATTCTGGACTGCTTTAAATTGGAGAAAGTGAACTGACACCAGCACACACACATGTATTGCTGCTTTCTTCTTCTGACTACAGACTTTACATCAACAGCTACTTCAAGCTCCTGCTGCCTTCACTTCCTTACCATAATGGGCTGTACCTTCACTGTGAAATAAAATAAAGCCCTTGACCCTTGAATTGCTTTTATCATAGTATTTTATCATTGTAATATGAAAAGAAACTAGGATATAAATTAGTACCAGGAGTGGGGTGGAAATTATATGGTGACTGGGGCAGGTAGGGGTAGAGCTGTGTTCGTTAGTGTTAATGTTAATTTCAAATTGATAGAATCTAGACTCACTTAGTAGATGGCATCTGGGCATGTCTGTGAGGAATTGCCTTGATTATGTTAAGTGATATGGGAAGACCCACTTTAATTATGAACAGGACCGTTCCTTGGGCAGGGATCCTGGATGTTTAAGTGGAGAAAAGGAACTCAGTAGCAGAATGTTTTTATTTACTGCTGCTCTCTGCTTCCTGAATGTGAATGCAATGTAACTGGCTGCTTGCTTTAAGCTCCTGATGCCTTGAATTCCTCACCATGATAACACTGAACCTTGACCCGTGAGCCAATATAAACCCTTTTTCTATTCTCTCTCTTAAGTTGCCTTTTATTCTGTTTTTTTTTTTTTTTTTTTTGGCTTTCTTTTTTCAAGACAAGGTCTCTCTCTATGTAGCCCTGGTTGTCCCGGAACTCACAGAGATCCACCTGCCTCTGCCTCCTGAGTGTTGGGATTAAAAGTGTGTGCCACCACCGTCAGGCTCCTTAAATTGCTTTTATTGAGGTATTTTATCACAGCAAAATAAAGAAACTAAGACAGTATCAATCAGTAAAACTACATTCCTACCTGTGGCTAATTAAGGAATCTGAAACTTCTATTCTGTCAGAAAACTGTCAGATTTATTCTCAGATAAACTTTGTAATATTTGAATGTGACAATTTAAGGCCCACATGTGAGATAACATCACACTCAGTTTGCATGAAGATAAGGGTTTTAAGGTGCTTACTGAAAAAGCCAGAAGGCCAGCTAATAACACAAAGAGCTAAGAGACTAACATGGGCAATCTGACAGAATGCCATAAATGGCAACTTTTATCTAGCTGCAGAGAATACACTAGGGAAGAAGTATCACCATGGTTACAGTATAAAGTGTGAGCTAACATTTCCATCTCATCACTGACCTCTATACCTGTGTCCCTACTTCTTGCCCTTTTTCATTAAAGGCTCTTTTATTCAGGACAATAAGAAAAAGCACTTGCTAGTGATTATTATACTTACACTGGCACAAAGATTTTCCTTTAACTTTTCTTTTTTTTCGAGACAGGGTTTCGCTGTAGTTTTAGAGCTAGACTAGGCTGGCCTCAAACTCACAGAGATCTGCCTGCCTCTGCCTCCCAAGTGCTGGGATCCTTTAATGTTTTATACCTACAGTTCAGGAAAAGACCTGTAACAATGATTCCTACCAGAAAGATTTAATTTACTACAAGTCATCTTTACCAGGCTTTTGAAAACTGGAATGATCTATAGGAGAGCTGTCACTCAGTTGCCACACTGTCTTCACCTTCTTCTGATTACTGCTTATTTCCACTCTCCATTTCTGGGGCTTCTCACTAAAGAAAAAAAAAAATCAAAAGAAATTAAAAAATAAATAAACTCCCAGTGACCAACCAACCATTTCTTCCTTCTAGTCACTTAGTGAAATCCTTATGTGACAAGTACTGAGGAAGGATATAAATAGGAAACAATGTGTACCCTGGAGAAGTACAGTCAAGGGTGGGGCAGAGACAAGAACATACACACATTTCAGGTGTTGTTTTTCAACACAGGATTTCTCTATGCAGCCCTGGCCATCCTAAAAATTGATCTGTAGACCAGGCTGGTGTCAAAATCAGAGATCTGCCTGTCTCTGCCTCTCTAGTGCTGGGATTAAAGCGCACCGCCACTTACAAGCAGAGAAACAAATCTTTAAAAAAGCAATAATAGACGGGGCTGGAGAGACGGTTCAGCAGTTAAGAGCACCGGCTGTTCCTTCCAGGGAACCCAGGGCTCAATTCCCAACACCCACACAGCAGTTCATGTGTCTCTAACACCAGCTCCAGGGCTTCTGATGCAGGCAAGACACCAATAAACACAAAATACATATACATACACATAAACACACACACACACACACATGTATGTGGGGAGATAGTCAAGACTGGTAACTATTTAAAAGACAAAGGGAGGAATAAGAGTGAACAGAGGGTGGGTCCTAGGTTTCTGACCTGGGCATTAGGTGATTAACAATGGTCATTTGAAAGATCAAACATATGAGGAGGAAAGAGTATTACAAAAGAAGGTAGAATTTTTAAAAATTTAATTAATTAACTAAACTAAAAACTGGTTATCATGGCAGAAAAGATGATTCAGAGGGTACAGGCCTGATAACATGAGTTTCATGATGGAAGGGGAGAACTGACTTCTGTGAGTTGTCCTCTGACTTCCATATGTGTGCCTTAGCTTACAAGCACCCAATTACATATATACAAGCAAGCAAAATAAATAAATATTCCTTTGGGGCCATCAAGATGGCTCAGTGAGTAAAGGTTCTTGCTGCCAGATGATGGAAGGCTGGCAACCTGAGTCTGATTCCCAGAATGCATATGAAAGGTGGAAGAATT